CTTATTTTTGTTTACCATAGATTTCTTTGCAATTCTCATCACAAACATAATTTTGTAATTACTAATGTTCTTTTTTTTTTTTACCTAAATCAATGTTATTCAATTAAATATAATGTTCAAATTAAGATGCAAACATTATACTACAATGTTTTACCTAAATCAACATTATTCGGTTAAATCTAATGTTCAAATTAAGATGCAACTTATAATACAATGTTTTCTTCAAATGATCTCCGCTTTGTATTAACTAATTCAAGATACTTTACCTTGAATTCAACAGGGGCATAACATATAAAAATAAAAGATGGAAAAGGGAAAGGGAAAGGAAAAGGAAGAAACATCTCGAGTGCCTCTTTCGCTGGAATGTGTACGTTCGAGGTAATTGAAATTCTTTGATGTGCGATACGTACAAGATGAATATACTGTTTATTGCTTTGTTTGAATGTGAAGAAATATGGATTGGGTTCTTTTGTTTGAAACCCCAGGATTGAAGCGGCGGTTTGGAGGGTGAAAATTGTTAGGGACGTTAAACAAGTTAATAATAATAAAATCAAAGTTGAGATATACACGGGGGTGTGTGTCGACAAGAGTGGGTTAATTCTGACCACGCATTTCGATCATCAGTTTACCAAGATTAGACTGTATGGTCTAGGTGGTGTATGTATGCATGGAGAAGTCATCCTTAGTGAAGGTACTTGTGGACTGACTTTGGTGAAAATCAAACGTCCGACTAGTGATGACAATTATGACTTCCTCCCACTTTCAGACGTCAGAAAATTTGATGTTGGGCAACAAGTACATTCGATGATTTTTCCGAAGAACACTTCTTTTCCTGTCTATTAACTGGTGAGTTGTCCTACCGATATCATCCAGACATCGAGGACAACGTGTTTTTTCCAATGTATAGAACAATGGCTGCGTTAATTGAAGAAGCTGAAAAGTTTGAAGTTTTTGAAGAAGCTCAACGCCGGGACAAGAATGTTATGAATAATGACCTTTCTCCTGACATCTCTCTTCTTTTCTCTTCTTCAGGTGAAGTCAACTTGGACCTCTCATATCTTTTTTATCTCTCTTCAGGTAAGTTTTTATTTCTCTTTTATTATCTATTTTCTTCATTTCTTCAGGTAAGTCGACTCGGAGCCACAACGGAATACCAGAAGTTGAATCATCCGAATGTTAACGACTTTGGATTAAAAGAAGGGCGTGGAGCTCCACTGTTCGAGGCTGATGGACGTCTTATTGGATTGGTGGCTTTTCAGTACAGTGGCTTTGATTTCGCAATCCATGTTAGCATAATAGCTAGATTCTTATCTAGTTCTTCACATTCTCCGTAGGTGTAGGTGATATGCTGGTATTTGTTGAAATGTTTACTTGTCATGACTTAGGTGATTTATTGACTAAGCTTTTATTTATCTGTGTATTGAAACGAAGGTAAGATTATTTTATTTTTATTTTTTGTTTTGGGTTTTTTTTAGCAAGTTGATTAATGGTAATAGATGCATATAGTCTGCCAATCCCATACATTTAACCTATAATAACAGGTTTTTTGGATTCCATTGGAACTCTTTTCAAAAATCACCAGTTTGTTTAGATGAACCGCACAAGAAAAGCTAAAACGATTGATAGTTGAAAAAAATTAGATGAAAACAAAGTGAATGATGGTTAGATCGAGTACATATATTTAGTTTGACAAATTCAAAAGAACATAACATTAATGGAAACAACACTATTCAAGAACACCGAATAACTCAATAAGTTGTTGCAAATATTGCCAAGGACCATTCCAAATTTTAAAGAACTAGTAAATTGCACGTGCGATGCACGCAGTGGTGAATGTTCTTTGTGGTTTTTGGCCGATTAAGTTTAGTGAGAAAATTAATTACACTAGTAGATATCTTGTGCACATGCACAGATATAGATAAAATATTCTAAGTAATATTTAAGAATTTAATATTAAAATTCTAGATAATGAACATATTACATTTTATAAAAATTTGATTTTAGGAAAAATAAATTAACGATTTTATTATTATTAACAATTGTTTATTATCATTATATAATAATAGTTTGATTATTATTATTATTATTATTATTATTATTATTATTATTATTATTATTATTATTATTATTATTAAGAAACAATTGCTTATAAGATTTTAATGTTGTTTGACAATGCTATTAAAACAATTTACTTATTATTTTTAAAGAAATTTTTTCATGAGATACAAAAGAAAAAGATAATATTGATGTTAATACAAATAACTTGAAACAATTATTTATAATTAGGTAATTTATATTTATTGTGAATTATTATTAGTTAGTATTAGCAATAACTATTATATAATATAATAGGAAAAATACATGATTACACTTAATATGATATATTAATGTGAGAAATAAAAAATATTAATGTTAAATTTTGTAACCGAAAATGGAGGGAAAAATGTTAGAGGTTATATTAAATGTTACATGCTAACAATTATATGTATACTAGTACTTCACCCGCGCGTTGCGCGGCTTGATGTTAAAAATGACGTAGATGAAAATATTATTTATTATATTTTGAATTATTGTCTTAAGTATAATATTAGTAGTGGATATATTATCATTATCATCATAAATAACAATCATCAAACAACAGAAATTCATGACTCTAGAAACAACAACATATAATTGATTGTGACTACAGAATACAATATATATATATATATATATAAATATATATATATAATCTTCAAACTAAATTAATTTTACATAGAAAAATATTAGTGATATTTGACAGAAAAATTTATTTGTCACATTAATGACACTTCTTGAAAGTTTTTTCCAAATTTGTTTCGATAATAACATAATATTTTCTCATTTTTGAATAAATAACGACATTATTTCTATTCTATAGATAAGCTGGTATAGAATAATTCAAATAACAATGTACAAATATTAGTCATTTTAAATTAAAAAATGTATTTAAGAAAAAAAATACTTAATTTTGATTACTATATTTTTCCACGTTTTTTTTTAATTCTAAAAATAAATTCAATAATTTATTTTTTTGCAAAATAATTCCGATTGTGATCATAATGACGTGCAAGATAAATCTATTTTTTAAAGTTACACACATGCCAATAATTATTTGTGTTCATGTCACTAAGAAATTTCTTATTTTTTTATATGTAATTATGCAAAATGTAATTTAATATAATTGTTAAAATTGTACATTAATTAAAAAAAATACATTTAGATTGTATTACATAAATTATAAAAGGAGTAAAATTCATTTTGATAAAACATATTTATTATATAAGATAAGAAAAAAAAATAGTTGATGCATTAAATTTGTTTATTGCAGCAATTTAGTAGCAGTAATATATTATTTGTCATTCTCTTATAAAAAACATGTGTTATAATAAAAAAATAACAATAATTAACATAATATGTTATTTGTATTCATAAAAAACTATAATTTCATAATTGCGGATCAATACAGAAATAAAAATGTGTGAAGTCACCTCAATCACAAACTTTTAGATGACCTCAATTTTAAGCCTATATGACACAAATGATATCAACTAAAAATAAAGTAAATTTAACAAACTGTGTATTTTGGCTCAAACTATTCAATTAATTAGAGCTCATATATAACAAAAGATCCACCAAAATAATTGGATGATAAATATGTATTGTCTTATTCAGTCTTCAAGGTCAAAACCATATTGTCACTCTTTCTCTCTCTTATGGTTGAGACTTTTTCACTCTTTTTGTTATCATTTCTTAATTTTTTTATCTTTCACAGTATTTTTCTGCAGTATTAGTCTATTTTTTACCCGTAAATGAAACTAAATTTCGATCCATATTTAAACACTAAATCATCTAATTTTTATTTTGTATATAAATTGTGAAAGTAAATTTACATCTAAAAGTAAACCATTGATATTTTTTGTTATTAAAGTATATCATTAAATCCATATTAGATTATTAATATCATAATATATTTATACATAAACTAATATTTAACTTCTTAGGTGTAAACCATTGATATTTTTTTGTTATTAAAGCATATCATTTGTAATCCGTATTAGATTATAATAATATCATAATATATTTATACATAAACTAATATATACTAATAAATGTGTTATTTAATTAAGCATTTGTACAAAATATTAGAATGAAAATTCACACAAAGTAATTATTTGTAAAATAAGAATTTAAAATAATTAATTATATTTTGTTGACTTAAATTATTTTCATAGTAATTAACAAAATAATATTAAAATGTACTTGTCAATGGGAATTAGAATGCAAGCTCCCAATGCATAATTATGTATAAATTATTTATCTTTTTAGTAAATAGATATAATTATTATTTGAATGACAAATTATACATAAAAGTTGACATAATTTATTTCACGGTATAAATATTATAGGGAAATGATTTTTCTCAAAACTACTTCAAACACACACACACACACACACACATATATACATATCTATATATAAATTAGGACATATGCAATGCACACTTTGAGGCATTGTAAAAAATAATATAGTTTTTTTATTTTTTCATATTCAAATAATAATGTTGTTTACAAAGGAATAAGATAAAAAAAAAATTAATAGAAAACTGGAATGCAACTTCACACTAAATAATTATTTACAAAATGTATTTGTAACAAATAATTATATTTTGTTGTGAATTTCTACATTGGCAATAACAATTTAACTTTAAAATGTGAATTAGAGTGCAAGTTTCTAAGTTATATACAAATTCATTTATGATAAATAGTTGTCATTATTATGAAATCTACATAGAAATTGACAAATTTATTTATAGGTAATTAATGCAGTTTTAGAGTAAAATTTTTCCTCCAAATTTCTTCATTATATATCTCTATATATATATATATATATATATATATATATTCTTAGCTAAAAAAATATATATAAAAAATAGGGGAAAAAACAGATACGGAAAAAACACATGATAATTAATTTTTACCCTAACTCACTGTAATGTCATCTTGGCCAAGGTTTGATCGACCACGACCTTGTCGCTGCTGCTTCACAATATCAATAATATGAATCCCTAACCTCTCTCTCCTCGGAGGTACTCGTATCTTAGGTAGTGGCCACCTGCAAGAAAATAAGACGGGAGAATAAATACATGTCCACCAAAAAACAAAATAAAAGATAAAAAGAGGAGGAATAACAAATGAACATTTGACAAAATTACCTGTTAGATTTATTCGGGTGAACCGCATCAACAACCATTGTTATATCCCACTTGGAACCATCCCTTGGCCGCAGCACATCCAAAAGCACGGATTGTCCAGCTTTGTCCCATATCAACTCAAAGAGCTAATAGATTAACACAATTAAATAGAAATAACTAAAGGTACGTACTACACAACATTTCGACTCAAAAAAGTTATGCATTGTAAATCCATACCTCCAATACACTCGTAATGGATTTTCCATCACATCCCACGATGACATCGAGAGGCAATAACTGACAATGAGGGAACTTCTCTAAAGGGCACTCGTCCCCAAGGTCTGATAATATCTGATCCACAAGTTTAAGAGTTGAGGTCAAGAGGTTGACAAAACCAACTCATAGGATCAAACTGAAATATATGTTTGTTGGGGAACAGAGCAAAACCATTTTGACAAAAACGCCGTCAAAAGTATTTGGAAAAGTTCGGATCAAAAGCTCCAAATCATCTGCCTCCAATTCATGAATGTTTCTCAACAGAACTCCAATCTGAGGTACGAGACAGGACCTAGACCAAATGCAAGTTAGTATACTTATATCACATCCTTGGCAGAAAGGTCTTAACAATACATTGTATGACATGGTAAATAAAACTAGTCAAAAGTGTAACGAGCCCACAGGAACTCTCTTTACAAGCGAGGGTACAATAGATGTAATTTAGTATGTACATAAAATGAAAACCACTATCAGCCAAGCCTCAACCACCGTGCCAGTATGTCTCAATCTATCAGGTTATCTTAAACACAGCGAACCAAAATTTGATGGCATCAATTCCCGGATAGAGTGTGGTTTTTCCTTTAAAAGAAATAAAAAATAAATTATAAATCGCAGCCAAAGCAAAACAAAGGTATCAACCCCTAAATAAAAATTTAAAACAACTGTGGCTGCTATTCCTCAAATATTCTACTCATAGCCAATGTTTAATAATAAATAATACTAAATGCACCACCCATTGTTACTTGATTTCAAATCTTTGTAACACAATAATTTTTTTTATTCTTTTTTTTTTTTTTTTTTTTTTTTCTGAAATGTTTCTGCAGAATTCGTTTGTTCTTGTTCAAGGCTTAAAGCTCTATATACTATAATTCAATCCATACAAAGTATATAGACATACCCAATTTTATTAAACCGCTCCCACCACATTGAAACTATGTTGATGGGAAGAAATGGTGTACAAGAAGAACCGGAGTAAAAGTTGATCCCAATCACTTCTCCATCCAAATTGACGAGTGGTCCCCCAATACCATACTATCATCAAAAGGCATGTACGAGTAGATGAGAACAAATAAATACAAAAACTAAAGAGAAAACACCTGAAAAAAAACTCAACTATCCTTGACTGAGATTATTATTACTGCGTGATTAGTAATCATTATAGATAGTAGGTGGCATATAAAAACTACAGTGGATGATCACTCCAGATTCAGACTTTACACAAGGTGCTTCTATCGAGGATACATTATTATAATTCAGGAAGGCACGTGGTAACCTTTTGAACAATTGGGAGCACGAATATTAACAACCATTCTAAACAGAAAACATAAAGTGCATACTATTATCAAGATGATCAATAACTTTTAAAAGGCATACCTAATATAATATGCATAACCAAAAGATACTCTTACCAAAGAAATTTTCATATCTGCCCTGAAAAGCTCTTGACAAGCCAGTCCAGACACATTGCCACTAGAAAAGGCAAAAATGGGGAAGATTATAGCAGAGAAAATGTACCAAACAAATTCATATATTACCCTATCAAGATGGTAGGTAAGTCATCTAATACCTAAATTTACCGTCAACCACCATAAGTCCATGCTCATCAGCATGATTACGACCAAGTGCAACCACCACATCCCCAGGAACTAAATTGAATTTGTTAGACTGAGGATGGAATTTAGGTGGTTTTTCATCCAACAGGTCAGGGTCTATGCTAATAGAATCATTTATATGCCTGAGCCTTGATGTTGGGATTGGGACATCCGTTTCAATCTTAATCACCCCAATATTGTAATGGAAATTCCAGCCAAAAACCGTAGCCTCCAATGTGATATCATTGAATAGAATGACACTTATCTACAAGATAAAAAATTACAAATCATTAATATCATATTGAGACTTATTAGATAATTGCAGAAACATAATTATATGAACCTTGATATTCTCGACCACATCATCAACATCACACTCGGGTCTTAGGATGGTAGCTGATGTAAAGATTGTACTGATGAATTTACCATCTTTGACAACAGATTCCACCACAAATCCTGAGCCACGAATTGCCTTTCTATCATCTTATAAAAAAATATAAAAAAAAAAGAATAAAGTTAGTATACATGCACGGCATGCAAAAGCACTCCTTGAATGGGAAAAGCTACATACACAACCTAAATAAGAAAGGATGCCAACAACGGAGGTAGATGCTTCCAGAGCGACCCTCTTTAGATCAAAGCTCAAATTTGAGGAGCAATTGGAAAATGAGTCTATTTACAACACAAAATGTGAGAACGTAAGAATAACAAGTAGAAATTAAAAAACGGAAGGAAAAACATATCTCACGCTTTCTATGAGGCTTCACATTCCATGGATAAGCCTGCGTTCGACTCTCTTTCTTCAACATCTTATGCTGTTGAGTACATCACAAGTGTTAGCATCAAGCATCCTTGACTCTTTATTTTACATTCATAGTTTGAACTAATACCAGAAATATTTAGTCAATCCTTACTCCTTCGACCTACCGAATTACAGCTTATAAGCTATTATATAGAATTAACAATCACAGATTATTTTTTAGAACTCATTAATGCTGTTTCAGAAAAATAGTAATAATTATGATATTAGAGTTGAATAGACATAGTTGTCGTGAAAATCAAAAATAAAAATTTGATTGAACAATTTATCAGTATAACTAGTAACCGACATGATTTTAGGTCTCAGGGAAAACTTACGGTTGGTAAGTTGGTCCTCTTGTAGATACATGAAAGTAGGAGCAAATTTAACAAGAGGATCAGTCATGGTGAAAAAAGGGAAGTAATATTTGGCTAGTCCTAGTTGAGAAAATTTTAGGAAAATGAAAGGACGGATAAACATTAGCAAACTTTGGCTATAAGATTACAACTCTCTAACAAAAATCACATAAGGTAGAGAAAGAAACTACACTAACTCGAGTGTACGTCCCAATTCAAAAGAAACCTGGACAAAAAGAAAAAAAAAAAAAAAACGAATGAAAAGTTAACCAAAATAAAATATATATTTGTATAATATACACAACGGGAAAAAAATAATTATAATAACAACTATGATGATGATCATCATAGTTCTTAAAGGCAAATAGCGAGCCGCTGAGTCGTAGAGATTTGCTCGTGGCCTGGCCTCGAGGAGCATGGCGAGGTCATGGCGCCGCCTCGTGAACATGCCACCACAGTTAGGGAAAACAAAAGAAAACAAATGATACAATACATATTAACGTATATATTGCAGAATCATCTTCAAATATCCTAATCACAGAACTCCACACAAGTCATTGGCATTTAGCACTAACAAAAGAACAAAAAAAAAAAATGAAACAGAGTCAACAATCAATAAACATAGAGAAAATCCATCACGATTCAAGTTTAAAACAAGCGGGGGGAGGCCTGATCAGAGCTGCTTATTAGGGAGGTGGTATCTATGATTTGATCATGATGACGATAACGACAAAGAGAAACGGCGATGATCATGATGGCGGCATTAGTTTGATCTTTGAATCAATATGCATAATGGAAAGAACCTGATTTCATTATTACTATAAGCAAGGCCAAAAGGCATACGATTCTGAGTGAAATAAATGCACCAGCATAAGAGTATTTTTCTTTAACTAGTTGGCTCCTTGATGAACTTGTTGCACACACTACATTGCCTCGTGAAGAACTCAAATTTCGCAAAATTAGATACTTCCATATGTGTCTACACATCAAAATATTCTAATAGAAGGACCTGTGTCATAGCATTTATCAGACTCAACATGATGCCACAAAAGGTACACGGGTTATAACATTAATACTAAGGAAAGACAGAAGAAGTAAGGTTTAAAACTATTCAGTAATGCTGAACATGTTAATATACCCACCGCATCGCTTATGTGGCATGGACACACTGGTGATGTAGTTTTTTTAACATATTGACATCACCAATGTATGCATGCTACATAAACGGTGGACATATTAACATGTGTCTACCGGAGGTAGGGGAGCATTACTCGAAAACTATTAGGAGCGTAATAATTCATAAGATGAACTACAACCATAATGAGCCCCAATTATCATATCTAAACCAATCAAATACAAAAGGTTGTCAGTATGTAATGTGGAAGAACCTTTCCCTAAACTCGCACTTTCTCAAGCATCTTTAACAAGAAGAAAAATTCAATTTGAAGAAAACAAGCACGAACTAAAACTCAGCAATCGGAATTACGTCGCACCAAATTAGAAAACCCAACGCAATTGATTCTGCATAAAATAGTAAACGGAAAGCTTGGAGAGAGGAGGAAGCTGATGGTAGGGCTTTCCGAAGTAGGGGAGAAGACACACCTTTATTTGGTTGGCAGTATTGCACAAAGGTTATTTGATTATTTGGTTAATCTATATCAATTATCTTCTATTAGTCGCCCCGAATTTGGTTGTTATTTGTCGCCCCAAATTACTACTTGTCGCCTGAAAAAAAATATTAAAAAATTATAAATGTACAACAATATTCCTGTGATAAAAAAAAGTTAATGGAAAAAAATACTTTTAAACGTCTATCAACTAAGCTCGGAAGCCAAAGAAACGTCTAGAAGCTAAGCTTGACAGCCAAAGAAACGTCCAACGAAGAAGCCCGACTGTGAAGACAAACGTCTAAGGGCTAAGTTTGAAAGTCAGGAAACGTCCAAATACGAACCCCGACTCTGAAGAGATACGTCTAAATGAGAAGGGACAACACATTTAAAACTTTTACATGGCAAGCTTATTATGCCGCTAAACGTTTAAATGGGAAGCTTGAGACCATGTGAAACGTCCATAGGTTAAGCTTGTAAGGCAGGTAAACGTCCAACATGGAAGCTCCACTGTGTAAACAAACGTCCACAAACTAAGCTTATAAGATAGACAAACGTCTAACATGGAAGCTTCCTTGTGAAAACAAACGTCCAGTAGCAAATCTTGGAAGTCAAGTAAACATCTAACTGGAAAGCCCGACTCTGAAGAGAAACGTCTAAATGAGCAGGGGTAACACATTTAAAACTTTTAAATTGGAAGCTTATTATGCCGCTAAACGTCTAACAGAAAAGCTTGAGGCCAAGTGAAACTTCCAAGAGTTAAGCTCTAAAGCATACTAAACCTCCTACATTATAGCTCACTTATAAAAGCAAACGTCTAGAAGCTATGCTTGAAAGCCAGACAAACGTCCAAAATCGAAGATCGGCAGTGAAAGAGCAAACCTCCAAAAGTAAAGCTCCGAAGTCGAAGAAACGTTCAGAAGTGAAGCTTGTGGTCCTAACAAACGTCCAACTGCTAAGCTTTGAAGCAAAGCAAACGTCTCAGATAAAGCTCCACGAAAGCTTATTTCGTGGAGCTTTGTTTGTTGGCTGCTGAAATTTGTAGGCGGGTGATTGTTTTGAATTGGGATTTTTTTGTAGGACTCAAACGAATGGGCCTGAATGGTGGGCTTGATATTCACATAAGTGTAGTGAGCTTGCCAAGGGCCGCGAAATTTACGTGATTATTTTAACCCCTACTTATCATACTCCAATTTGATGGTATGGTAAAATTAGGTGTACATAACACTCACATGGAGTGGGGTATACTTGATTTTTTTATTTTTGGTGGATTCCACTCAATGTGAGTGTTATGACACCCCTATGTACAATATTATGTACCTGTAACATTTCTCTTATTATATACACTAATTTTTAAGACAATTATAATAATAAAATCGTAATCATATTTAAAATAACACAATATTTTTTTAATAGAATCATATTTAATCATATTTGAATAGAATCGTAATATTTTATTAGTTTATAGATCATTCTTATAGTTATGAATGGATCTCACTTAGGCCATTAGTCCAACAGAAAAGACCTCGTTCTTTAGTGAATCAAAGTAGATGTGTATATTTTTTAGCGAATCAAAGTAGATATATTGTATGCACGTTCATTTTTATATTTTACGGGTTTAGAGTACTAAACATTGCCATGGATCGGCTCGGCCCGCCAATTCGACCCGAACTGGCCCAGAACCGAGCTTGTAGTTTGACTAGTTCGGTTATGGGCCTCATGTAGTTTGACTCGAACCGACCCAAAACCGTTGTGGAAATGGCGAGTCGGATAGAAATTGAACCCAAACTCGAACCGCGGAATCAAATTTAGAAAATAAAAAATAAAAAAAAATCTAGTAGTTGGATCTTCAACGAAAAGCTTTTAGCGACCCAGATTAGCGGGTTGCCAATGGTCTAATACCAGGACACGACTCGGCTTGACCCGGTCAACATATTAAAAAAAATAGGTAAATATGGCGGGCCGTATCGAGGGCCGGCCTGGACCCGACCCATCTGGTGAAAATTTTTTACACAAGAGTCCAGAATTATCCCGGTCAAAAACTACGGACTCAGTTCTGGCCGGTTGACCACTGGCCGATTCAGGGCCGATTCGAATGATTCGAGTCGAACTGGCGGGCGGGGCCATCCCAACGTCGTGACTAGTATGATGAACCGGTAAGATATAAACATGAACGTGCATACAAAAACCTCTACATTGATTCGTTAAAAAGTGAGGTTCATTTTATTGGATCAATAATCTAAGTGAGGTTCATTCACAACTATCATAATCATTAATAGACTAATAAGATATTGAAAATATTTTATAATTAAATCTTGACCAACAGTCAAAAGCTTTCAACAATCCAGATTAGCGGGTTGCCAACAGTCCAATATTAGGCCACGGGTCGGCTTTACTCGGTCAACAGATTAAAAAAAAAAGAATATATGGCGGGCCGTCTCGAGGACCAACCTAGACCCGGTCCACTGAGTCGAATTTTTTCATACATGAGGCCCCAAATCAGCCTAGTCAAACTACGAGCTCAGTTCTGAACCTGTTGACCATAGGCCGGTTCGGGTGAACCGATGGACCTGGCTGGGCCAGCCCATGGCCATGACTAGTACTCTAAACCCGTAAGATATAAACATAAACGTGCATACAATACATCTACTTTGATTCACTAAAAAATATGCACATCTACTTTGATTCACTAAAAAATAAGGTCATTTCTATTGGAATAATAGTCTAAGTGAGATTAATTCACAACTATGAGAATTGTTTGTAAACTAATAAAAAATTACTATTCCATTAAAATATGATTCTATTAAAAAAATATTTTCTCGTTATTAAATATGATTACGATGTTATTATTAAAATTATATTAAAAATAAGTGTATATTATAAAATAACAATTCTATATCATTTTAAAGATTTGTTGCATGGGTTGATGTTATGTTGATTATTGTAAGATATTTCAGAAAGTAGTGGGGTGATATGTGGAAAAAATCAAATTATTGAGGAAACATTCACGTTGGACGTTTCTGGATACATTAAGCTTTCCTTAAAGA